GATAACTATCCAAACATTATAAAGATTTCACATGTGAAATTTCAAAATTTTCTGATGCATAAAAATATTTTTAATATTAAAATGAAAATTACTTTGCATGAGAGATAGGAATGATGTGAAAAGAAAAAAAAAGGCACGAGAGAAACATTGCTTTACAAACCTTAAGCCTTAATTACAAAAAGTAGATATTTTGCGTATGAAAGCATTGTAATGTTTACTGATAAACTGCCCGATTTTGTTAACACTTCCTTACTAAGTTAAAAGTTATAGCATGAAAACTAGGTTTTTCCTAGTGATATATTTACTTCATTAATATGCCCATTTTGGACCATACTCACCCATGGACTTCATGGGTAAAGTAGAAGGGGATAGCTGCCCATCTCTGCCATGCCTTCAATTAAATGATTCGGGTGTGGTCGGCTTTTCAAAACAGGGTTTTTGTGGTCACCTGTTGCACTGGCCCCGGTGTTGATGTTCCTCCAGACTCTCCACCACATATACCCCCCCTTTAGTTCCAGTGGAGTATGGAAGTCCTTATGACTGTCCATGTTCGAGCCACTGGGGTTCTGGAGCATGGGGGCAACCTCTTGAATGTGATATTGATATATGATACACATAATGTTAGAACCCTTCAGTTGAAAGTTGGGTGGTAGTGTTCTGCTGGTGTAGATAATGATATGTCCTCCAATCTGATGCTTCATCTCTGTACGGGTTTATCTGAGAGGATGTTGTCATTTTGGAGTGTGCCATCAAAATACAGTTCACCCCCTCAATTGAGGTCCCTCATCCTGCCCCACATGGATGTCATTTCCCAGTTGCTGGAGAAGTTTCGCATATAGAGGGCAGCACTGAATGAGAATAGCTATGTATGTGAGGTGGGCAACTACTTATCGGAAACGTATTTTCAGTACAGGAAAATTATAACTTCAGAGGAAGAAGTAATTTGTTATATTTTCACGTCAAGAAAAATCAAGACCAATTTTATTTTTGTGTTATAAAGTTTCTTTGCTGTGAATTCTAGTCAGCGAAAACTTTAAGAAATATTCCATAAAGTGATAATTATCTAATTCATTGTACTTGATGACAGGTTGGATGAAATATTCTTTTATAAACAAAAATGGAACAATTTATTGTCTGCTGTTAAATTACATTATCCTTGTGTGTGTGGATCTTTTCTGTAATACAGCAGTACGGAATAAGTATGTGCTGGAGTTTTTATTACCCTTGATAACCATATTACAAAATAAAGTGATGTTGAATTATGGGAAGCTCAAACATCAATGTGTTCTGTGGTGTAAATTGGGAAAATCATTGAGAAAGATTGGAGCGAACATGGTCTCTTTGTCGGGTTGTGATGGAATAGTTTCAGAAGCTTAACGTTTGTTTTGTTTTTGGAGTATGTTTATGATAAATGTTGTGTATGTATATATACTTATTATAAAAGGTTAACTTATATTTATTATTTTTTTTGGTGACAGGGCTGGAAAAAAGAACGGGTGCTTGGTGCCTTTATTGATGGTCGTGTTATCATGGTGTTACCAACAGATTCTAGTTTTATGGTGAAAAAGGTTGAAGAAATTCGGCAATTCGTGGACAGGTTTGTAGTTTTGATTACTGATACTTTTCCAATTTATGCTACAACTTTTAAGTTGTAGCTTTTAAAGATGTCACAAGAATTCCATATGTTTACTTCATGCTAGTAGTGTTTCCTACAATATTTGACATGTTAATCTTCATAGCACGGCAGTAAGTCTGTACGATATACCACTAAAAACCAGGTTTCGATACCTGTGGTGGGCACAACACAAACAGCCCATCGTTTAGCTTTGTACGTAACAACAAAGAAAATAAGTTGAACGAAACCAAATACATTGTAGGGATTTATAAGATTTTAATTTTTTTGCCAAGTCATATCATGTGCAGAACATTCGGGTTATTCTTCTGAAAACTTAACATCCAACTTTTGATGAATTTTATTCAGTTTCAGTCTGTGAAAGTTGTCATAGAGCAGTATTAGATATGCAGATCACATTAAGAGTATCTACTGTTAGTTTTGGTCATAGCACTATTGTCCTCTAAACATAGATCCTCTATTGAGATAGTTATCACTTTTTTAGAGCAGTGTCTGTAACCAGAAGTCATAGATGAAGAATATTAACAGTTGTTTTGAATTGAGATTGTGCATATCTACGGTAAGTTAAGCCAATGTTTGTGGTCTTATAATGAAATGAACTGATAAAGGAATTGAATCTGCTGAGAACAGGTTATCAGTATGAATAGTGTACTTTCAACCAAATGACAGAATCTGAAGTGCCAAAGACTCGTGACACCTCTATAAACCAGTCAAATACAACGCTCTTGTGTAACCTGGCCAACGTCTGACCCTTGATGTTGACAAATAAGATGTGTTATTACTAGTGCAAGCTTCAACTGGCAGTATGGTGCTAACTTCCACGTTTGGTGACGTATTAATAGTTTCATTATATCACCTGTAAACATCCCACTGTGAAATCTTCATAACATTTTCATTTTGCTGTTCTGATGATTGGTCAAAGCTGTTTTCTGCTAGATTTTCTTTGCAAACAATTAGGTAACGTAGTAGCAATCGATGAAAGTTATGCAGATGATCTGCTTCTAGTTACTTAAAGATCTGTTTGTCAGACTTACCATGTTTTAATTTTGTCTTTATAAGGACAAACAGTTTTCACCAGAGTTTGAAGTGTACGTTAACCTAGTGAAATCAACCTTCCTGATACGTAGGTGGGGTAGTAGAACACATGTTCACATATTGCTTTTATTTTCTTGTATCCATTCGTTTTAGCTCTTCGTACACTATTGACCAAATTACATGCATACAGAGACAGAAAATATTGATCAAAATCAAATATTATTATTTTCTGGACTTGTACAAACAACGTTAGAAATATCATAACTTAGTAACAGGACAGAAGTATCAAGTATATTATAAAATCTATTTTATTGATTGAAAACAAATGTGTAAAGCACAATTAAATACATTTTTAACTAATGTGGGTCGTCTTGTGAACTGAATGTTAAATAGTGTTACATTTGGTTAACAATGAACCTGAAGTTGTGAATTATTTGATAATAACATTAAATGCTGTTTACATATAGATATAATTAATTGAATTGAGACTAACCCTGTAATGTGGAATACAATTCTCAGTTTACTTTAAAAAAAAAGTTCCCTCCCCCTCCCTGGTGGAACAGCAGTAAGTCCATGGACTTATAATGCTAAAATCATGGATTCAGTGTCCCATGGTGGATGCAACAGATAGTCCAATGTGACTTTGTTTTGAAACAAGATATATCTGGAAACTGATAAAGATCATAACATAACGTTTTGGGACAACATGAGACATATTGTTCCATCTTTCAGTCTTAAACACCTCAATCAGACCACCCCCCCCCCCACTCTTCTTTTTCCAAAATCAAACAATTTGAGAAGTTTCAGCCTCTTCTCGTATGACAACCCCTCCATTT